TGCACATCAGTTAAGTAGTCAACGTAAATAAGTGAAGGTTGACGTGTGGCTTCACACAGAACACAAACATTGGTCTCCTGGGTGAAAGTCCTGTGTTTGTTTGACCCGTCCAACCAGCCCGTCTTCCTCCCTGCATGGACTTTCTCGCTCTTTACACTACGTCACGTGACTTCCAAAGCACTGTGTCGTGATGATCCGTTGCCACGGCGTGAAATGACGCATGAAAAGCATGAAGCGTAGTGATGATGTGCGAAATTACTTTGGCATTTATGTCATTCATACGTCATTTGGTGAGACCAAACATGAAATACAGTAACACTTATAATATAAAGATGTAAAACCAACCCGAAATCGCCGAACTCGAGGCTTCAAAACATCAGTCCACAAACCAATGGATGACGTCACGACGACTACGTCCGCTTCCTAAATACAGACTATGGCTAAAACCACAGCTCACATAGAAATACAAAGTGTCATGGCACAGCCAAACAATGTGCTACATCATGCTGACCATCGTCATCACCACCCGCACAGAGTTGGAAGAAAGACTTATCATTTAAATGGCATTAAAAGGTATTCCCAAAAATCAGTTCTGTGCAGCCAGAGATAAAGTCTAAGAACCCAAACACATCAGGTCTTTCTTCTTCTTTCTATTCCTTTTTGAGTGCATGATGTGGCACAGAGAACATATTTTATATAACTTTAATTATGTTGCTTTAAGTCTCTGTGAGCACACACGTGAAATGACTTCATGATATTCTGGTCTGTCACATCTCAACGTGGTTAAAACCTGCAGATGGATGATTCAGCGGCAATTGAGAAAAACATAATTGTGGCTCCTCACCTCTGTGAGACATGTTGAGTCAAACACAGAGAGACAACTGCCACGTATACAGAGAGAGAGAGAGAGAGAGAGAGAGAGAGAGGGAGAGAGAGGGGGAGAGAAGGAGAGAAGGGGGAGAGGAGGGGAGAGGGAACAGTCTGGGTGTGAGAGGAGGGAGAGGGGGAAATAAAAGACTGGAGGAAAAAGAGGGTGAATGTGGGAGGAGGAAAAGAGAGTCTCACGGTATAACGACACCTCCTCCCCCTCTCCTCCTCCTCTTCCTCCTCCTCTCCTCATCGTCGGCTGGACTGTGGCTTCCAGGCAGAATGGAAAATGCCACGTTGCATTGCAGGTTTTTCTTTTTTTTTCCACCTCTCCCTCCCTCCCTCCCTCCCTCCCTCCCATCCAGCTGTTACTCACATCAGCCCATGTGGGAACAGACAGGAGCAATCCTTCAGCCCCCGTCTGCATAGAGGAGCGTGAGGGAGTGCGTTTGGAGCTCGGCTGCTTCTGTCTGTCGGTGTGACGGCAGGTGTTTGGATCATAAATCTGCAGTGATGAGGTGAATGTTCCAGAGGACTGAATGTTTTCACCGAAGCTTCAGAGCTTTGATGTGTTGATGAGTTACATGATAGAAATTCAAGACTTCATGCATCATGTCCAGGAAATATAAAACCACTGTTTTAAATTCCACTGACACGTTAAATACCTGCTGTCTTTAGAGAAACCTTCTGCTATGTTACATACAGCTTTACATAGCAGTGTATTCATGGTTTAAGTAAACTTAAAGTTACAGTGAGGAACCTTTAACTGGTTCTCAGTTAAACCCTGATCCTCTATATGACCTTCATCAGTAAAGAGACCATCAGAGAGAAGATGGTCTATTTCTATAGAGTTATTCTTAATGCTCGTCATCAGTGTGACCAGATCAGATTCAGCACAAAATCAGACAAAATAACGCAGGTTCACCAGAAACTCCTTTAGCTCAGACTCCAGCAGAGACCGGTCCACCGTGGACAGACCCAGATCCTCTAGCA